CCTAATTTTTCGGAACGGTTACAGATCGATTTTTTGGGTAGTTTTGCTCATCCCTAGTGCTAACGCACGATATATATGTAACATGTATATATTTAGGATTTTTTGACATTTGCTACCACTTAAAACACCTCTCTTCAGATTCGGTACCAATTTTTTAAAAAAAATTTTCTTTGCTACCAGCTAAAACAAAGTTTGTTAAAAATCACTACCACTTGTCTTCAACCGTTAGTATTTCCGTTACCACCACCCAACCACCGTCCAGCCACCACTCCTTCCCACCCACTGCCTAATTCACCACCACTATTCAACATTAAACCCACCGCAACCACCAGCCCTTCCTCACCCACGGACCCACCAGCTACCCAAGCCACCTCCACCATCGCCTGGGAGCCCAATCCCCTGCTCGCGAATCCGGCCACCTAGCCCTCGTGTCGGCGCCGGCGTCGCGACCCTCCTCTATAAACGCCTTTCCAGCCCCGATCCCAACCTCGTTCCCAGCCCCCCCTCCCCTTGAAAACCCTATCCAAGCCCCTTCCCCTCGATACCCAATCCCACGGCCTGGGTTTAGTGGTTTCGGTGGGTAGTCGTGGTCTGGGTTCATGGGTATAGGGTTCGCGTGGGTATAGGGTTGTCGGTGGTGGTGGTCTGGGTTCATGGGTACAGGGTTGTCGGTGGTGGTGGTCTGGGTTTGGGGGTTAGGGTGGTGTCGTGGTGGTGGTGAGATCTGGGTTCGTGGGTTTTGGGTATAGGGTTGTCGGTGGTGGCGGTCTGGGTTTGGGGGTTAAGGTGGTGTCGTGGTGGGTCGTGGGTGAGGTCGCCGGCGCCGACCGACTCTTTTGGCGCCGGCCGCCGGCAGGTGGGACGGGGAGGGGTTGGTGGTAGTTTAGGGGAGGGAGTGGCTGGGTTTTTTCATTTTTTTTTTAATATTTTTTTTAATTTTTCTTTTTTTTTTGTTTAATAAACTTAACGGAAATCCTAACGGATTCCGTTAAGTGGTGGTTATTTTTAACAAAATCTAATTTTGGAGGTAGCAAAGTAAAAAAAAAATTTTAAATTGGTACCGAATCTGAAGAGAGGCGTTTTTAGTGGTAGCAAATGTCAAAAAATCCATATATTTAAAAAGGAAAAAAAATGCACACGATTTGAAAATTGGGTTTTTGGAGGGTTGTGGTTAACTAACTCTTAAATTATACTTCCTCCATTTCTTTATAGTTGTAACATTTCCCTAAAATGAAAATGTCACAACAGTTACAACACAAAGAAAGGTTTTTATGGTGAAAATTGTATTATTATCATTATTAAAGTTCATGGCCACTCGATAATACTCTTAACAACCTCTTAACCCCCTTTTTTTAAGACTATTGTATCATGTGAGATCTACTTTTCTTAAATATCATGATAAAGTATGTGTTACAACACTCTAAAAAAAAAGCGACGCATTCAATTGAGAATTTTTGGAATTGGAGTAAATATATATAGAGCTGTCAAAAGTTGACCCTACCCGAAATACCGATTCAAACCCGATTATTAACCGACCCATCTAAACCCGAAAAATTGGTGACCCAAACCCGACCCGACCTGAAACTAACCCTAGACCCGAGATGACCCGAGTATGTGAGACCCAACCCGAACATGAATTGATCTAGAGATGACCCGACCCGAATGTAACCCGTAAATTATTGACCTGAACCGAACTCGACTTGAACCGAAATTGACCCAAACCCGTTTTAACTCGTCAAAACCCGAATTTAACCCGACTTGTTACTAACCTGACCTGAACTCAACCCTTCCCGTTCCTAACTCGGCTCGAATTTAACCCAACCTGTTACAAACCCGACCCGAAATCAACCTGACTTGTTATTGACTTGACCCAAATTCAACTCGACTTGTTATTGCCATATATATTATAGTCAAAGGAAATAATTAGCTTGATAAAAATGATAATTATCTATTTATATTTAGTTGAACCCGAATATGACCTGACTTGGAAATGACCAATAACTTGATTATAACCTGCAAATTATTGACTTGAACATAACCCGACTTGACTCTAAGAATGACCCGACTTGGAAATGATCCAACTTAATTATAACCCGTAAATTATTGACTTGAACATTTGAACGAAACCTTACTTGAACCCGAGAATGACCCGACCTGATTATAACCCGCAAATTATTGATTTGAATCAAACCTGACTCAAACCCGAGAATGACCCGAGTTGATTCTAACCCGCAAATTATTGACTTTGACCAAACCCGACTCGAACCTGAGAATTACCCTAACAAGTTCTAACCCGTAAAACTCGAATTAAACCCGATCTATTGTTCACCGTACCCGACCCGAATGTAACCCGACCTATTATTAACCCAACCTAAACCCGAGCCAAACCCGATAAGAAGTATGACCCAACTCAAGCATGACCTAACCCAAACCCGACCCACATAGGTTATAGAACTGAACCGAATTGACCTAACCCGAGTTGACCCGACCAAAACCTGACTCGTTTACCCAAATTGACAGCTCTACCCAAAACCTCCAAAATTTCTCAAAAAACCTTCAATTTTGGAAAATTTTGACTTTTTTTCGCTAGAAAATAAAAATTGCCGAGTTGTTTACCATGGTCCTTAATACCCTCCGGTAGTCCAATTGGGTGGGTGAAACCATCCAATTTGCCTTTAAATGGTCAATTTACCATTTTACAACTTGCACCGATTTCATTAACTCAAGCCTACCACGAACATTTATGACAACAAATAGTGATCATATATTGTGACAAACGACATTATATGACTCCGAGATGTATTCCCTAGAATCTCAAGGCTTTTCGATACCGGGCCCCGAAACCTCCAAAATTTCTCAAAAAGCGTGGATATTAGTCTTTAATTTTGGAATTTTTTGACTTTTTTTGGCACGAAATAACAATTTCCGAAATGTTTACCATGGTCCCTAGTATCCTTCGGGAGTCCAATTGGGTGAGTCGAACCATCAAATTTGCATTTAAACGACCAATTTACTGGTTTACAACTTGCACCGATTTCATTAATTCAAGCCTACCACGAACATTTATGAAACACAAATAATGATCATATATGGTTCCAAACAGCATTAAATTGCCACATATATTATAATCAAAGGAAATAATTAGCTTGATAAAAATGATAATTATCTATTTATATTTAGTTGAACCCAATATAACCTGACTTGGAAATGACCCAACTTGATTGTAACCAGCAAATTATTGACTTGAACGAAACCCGACTTGAACCCGAGAATGACCCGACTTGGAAATGACCCAACCTGATTATAGCCCGTAAATTATTGACTTGAACATTTGAACGAAACCCGACTTGAACCCGAGAATGACCCGACTTGAAAATGACCCGACCTGATTATAACCCGCAAATTATTGATTTGAACTGAACCCGACTCAAACCCGAGAATGACCCGAGCTGATTCTAACCCGCAAATTATTGACTTGGACCGAACTCTACTCGAACCTGAGAATTACCTAACCCGTTTTAACCCGTGAAAACCCAAATTAAACCCGATCTATTGTTCACCCGACCCGAATGTAACCCGACCTAAACCTGACCCAAACCCGATAAGAAGTATTACCCGACTCAAGCTTGACCCAACCCCAACCCGACTCGCAGAGGTTATGGAATTAATCTGAATTGACCCAATCTGAGTTGAGCCGACCCGCTCTTACCCGACCCAAACCCGACCCGTTTATCTGAATTGACAGCTCTAAACATATATATATATATATATATATATATATATATATATATATATATATATATATAATTGATCAAATTCATCAACAATTTACAAAGTTGTATAGTTTGAAACTTTAAAGAGATGTTGAAATTGGAAAAAAGTTTGTAAAACTGTTATATGAATGGGGTTGTTTGGCAATCGACGGTTGGTTGTTAGCTGTTGACGTGGTTGATTAACGAGAAGTATTAGCTATATGGATTGGTCTTTTTAGTTTGTTTTTTAAGCCGACTGTTTACAAAAGTGTTTGGTAAAATTATTAATGATTGTTAGTTGTTTATTAGTGATAATATATCATGAATAAATGAGTATGTGTAAGACATCATTATCTTTTCATTTGTCTTTTAATTCTCTCAAAATAGATAATTATATGCCCACAACATAAGTATGGAGTAAATGGTTAGCTTTATATTATAAGTTTATAACATAATTGAAAGAAACAACTTAGAGATATTTCTAAACCAAATACAAACACACGCCTAATTCTTATATTTAGTCACTTCAGTACATAGGTATGTCTAGGAACATCTAGAGGATATAGGAATTGGAGAGATGATTAGTCCCTCCATCTCCCCCCTCCTCATCCCCTCCATTCTTGTGATATGGTAGGAGACCCTCCGTAACTTACCGTATAAAAATAAATAAGTAAAAATTGTCTAGGAACATCTTGTTTATGTCATTGACATGGTCATGTACTCATACGGAACAAACTATAAGTTACTATGAGTAGTTACTACACTACAAATCTACAATATTAATTACCCATTTAATTATTATTAAGGAAAGTTTGGTTGCTAAGAGTTCATTCATTAGATATTAGTCAGAGGTAGATGGGCATATGCTTGTAGATACGATAAATTGGATCCATTAGATAATGGTAGATGAAATGGTATATCTCTAATAAAACTCTCATTCAAATACTCTTTTGTTTTTTTGTTTTAGGACCAAATTAATTGTAGGGATTGATTGATTTTGTTAACAAATAGTTTTCCTGTTAAAATTATTTGTGTTAAGACAAGACATTTAACATAAAAATTAAAACATGTCAATAAATTAATTATTTAATCAAATGATATTATATACATCCGAGTTCACGATTACAAGTGCACCCAAGGTATTTTTGCTTATTTTAATGATTAATTCAAATAATGGTTATTGCTCATTTTAGCGAAAAACAACCTTGGTGCATCTGTCACGTTATTTGAACCACAAACAAAACCAAGTTTGGTTGACTGGTGAGGAGTTTTGATTAGGTAGAATCCTCGTAAAAATACAAGCAAGTTGTTGCAATTTGCAAACAATTGTGAATATCTTCTTTTAGTGTAAACCTTTTTATAAATTATTTTCTAGCTCAACAAGTTGGACATGAATGATTGTGACATACATAGGCCAAGTTCATGAAAGTTTTGCTTCCGAGACTATGAAACCCCAAATTTCATAGAGATGGTCCTTTCAAGTGTTGTCCGTTTAAATAGGCAAAGTTTTCTAGAGGAACCCTGCCTCAACCATGTAGTCTTGTGTCATCTAATGAAGTTTGCTCCTTAACTTCATCTTCAAACATCGAAACATCCAACTCACTATAAATCTTGTGATCTCCAAACTCTATGTTGTCGTATTTCTTGATGAAATTTTCTCCTCGGATTGACCTTGAACATCAAAGCTTACAAATTCATCTTCGCAACAGCCCTGCTCCAAGCACAGAGAAACTAGCATGCGTGTGTTCGTTGAGGTACATGCCTTCTGATGCTGGGTTATGGCTTCCGAAGCTATGCATCACATTTGATGGCCCAACATTGAAATGTCGCACAGGCAAAATATCAGGATCTTGGCCATGAGGAAGAGGTCCCATAAAAGTGGGACTCTGAGAAGACTGAGGTTCCCAACTTTTTACCAATTTACTAACATTGACATTTATGGCAGCCTGAGACCTTGAAAGATCAGCATCCACCTGATTACTGACCATTAAATCCTTGCCCATTAACCGGAGGATTGGAGCTGGACTTGTAGAACCGTACTCACCAGATCTTGGAAATGGATCGGCTGCTTCTAAAGAGCTCTCCAGAGATGTAATACTCTGATGTGAAGTTTCTACAGAGTGAGCTAAGTTCACCGACTCTGTCTTATGGAAGCTGCTGGAAGAAAACACTGCACTTCGGTCATCAAGATCAATTGAGTGTCCATCTAAAGTAGAATACATATAATTTCCTCTGGGAAAACTCTTCGGCGATGTTGGTCTCCATTGTAGAAGCTGAGATTCCTGAGAAGTCACAGTGCTTTGCGTAGTCTCTTCTTTTTGGGAACAACAGCATTGCTGGATATCGCGATTTAGCATTGGAGGGCCTCTACCTATATCAACCATGCCATTTTCTGAACTATAAACACAAGTAGCCCTTTCACTTGCAGCAGCAGGAAATCGTGAAGATTCTGTTGAAATCCCTGGTAAAGGTCCAGAGGAACCAAACCACCCTGGATAAATACTATCAGATGCAGAAAGAGACACACTTAAAGATTCTTGTCCATTGACTGTAACATTATCTGTTCTTCTACCCAAGTTTGAGATAGTGGATGTGGCAGAAAATGGGGACTCTGATAGGTCTCCATCAGCCACATTATCATTAGCCCCTGATGGTTGTACCAAACTGTTACTCAGTGAACTTCTATGTAGATCTTCAGAGCCCATATCACTGAAACTAGGCAAATCTGATCCAGGTGGTCCTGGAATGGGTATTGGATCAACTTCAGGAAAAAGAAATCCATGACCAAAATTGAGAATGTAATCTCCTGTCTTCGGCTCCAATCTCTGAGCATCTGCTATGTTTCCATGAAACATATTATGCTCGTCATTTAAACCAGGATGAGTTGAATTACTCCTAACTTCAGCCCTGTATAAAGAACCATGAAATTTGTCTGAACATTGGAGTAATTTAGACTGGGATACATCAGCAACTTTTTCAAGCTCAGGATCAAAAGTTGTCCTCAAACTTCTTTCAATTACTCCAATGGCCAAGGTGGAAGATGAAACTGAAGCAATAAACTCCCTATCATTGTGAAGACCTTTCAAAGAGAGAGAACTATAATTACCATGTGCACCATCAACAAGATCATCATTACTGTTGGTATCTTTTGATCCATTCTCACCATACTCTGATGCTTGCTTTTGTAGTACCTCGACCATGCCACTTCTGCCAAAAGTCTCGGCAATTCTGGGGCCTTTTGGGTGGTCAATTGCAGCACCAGACTGCTGATTAGCGCCAGTAGGCCATGCTTCAGTTTCTTCGTCTCCACTGAAATCACAAGAGTTTTCAAGGGCTGATCCCATTTTATCAGAATTAGCCTGACATGCACGAACAAACGAGTCATTGGGTAAAAGGGTAGTCTTTGAATTGCATGGTCTCATTCTTTCAGATGAACCACCAAGACAACTATGTAGCAGTCCCCTGGTAGCAGGAAAAGAAACATCAGCCTTTTGCAAAGCATTAGGTTGGATGCCAGCTTCTCTTTCAAGGGGAGGAGCTGGAGCCATAGTTGAGTCTGAAGACTTTGGTGTAGATTCCTTGGTCATTTTCCTATTAAACTGAGCAGATCTCGGCTTCAAAGATACCGGCAATGCCTCTCTATTTCCTCGGATTGCACCTCTCAGTGAACGGCCCCCCAGCATCCTTACTCTACAAGAACCCTCACTCCTCTGGTCCACCCCAGCAGGGTAAATAGTATGAGTCCTCGTGTTATTTTGCATTGAGGAGAGAGATCTCTTTGGAAAATTCTTGACAGGTACCCCCCTGGGCTCCACTTCAGTACTACCAACTTGGTCATTTCCAATGAGCGAGTCCTTTGCTGCTTGATGCTCACACCTTGAAAGCTTAATGATGGCTCCAGAATTACCAGGATTGTTATGTTCTTCAGCTTCTAATCCCTTAACAAATGAGGCTGTTTGTTGCTTGTCTCCTACTGCATGCATAGCTTCTTCAAGTCCACAGGCCTGTTGATTATTTAAAACATGAGTTTATAATATCAAATACATTTTGATATTAATTTATTAAGAAAAAAACTTTCCAGTTAGGATCTAATGAAGAAGAAACCAGAGTCTTGCAGAGCAACATAATGAAAAAAAAAAAAAAAAAAAACAAATTAAAGAAGCTAGTATGCCCAAGATAACAAATTTAACAGGAAATTATCAACCATACGCAATAGCCTGATAGTCTTTCCTAAAAATCAATGAAAGGCAGTAACATCTTCTGCACCTAAAGATATTTCTTTGTTTTTTTTTTCCCTTAATTATTTATACTCCGTACCCTTTCTTAACCGAACCCCCCAAGGCATTCATAGCATTATAGTATCAAAAGGTGAAGAAAAGAAACGACAACAATCAATTGTGCAACAAGATATAAGGATACAAGAACAAAAGGCATACTTCAGAGGATCGGCCCTTGACATTGAAGGAGAGAGATCTTTTTCTTTGGCGAGTGACTTTGAGAAACTTCAAATGTTTCGCAAGACGCTTTTTCCTATTTGGTGAAATAACTTTGCTTCTCTTGGCCTTTCTTGATTGCTTCTTTGGTCTTGGATCCTCCCTAGCTTTAGAAAATGATGATGTAGACGTATCATTGAGCTTTGAAAGAATCCTTATTTTCCTTCCACTTGAATCAATATAAACAGAACCATCATCAACATTTTGTACAAGATATTTGGATGATACTACAGGACTAATCTGTTCAGAAGGCACATCAGCCTCTTCCAAGGGGAAATCTACATTAGTGGCCCAGTTAGTACCATTTCTTCTATCCAAATCTTCTAATGTGCAGGAAGGGGCAGTTGCACAGATATCCGTCATTAATCTTATCTTTCTTGGCTTTATTCGAGGCTTCATTAACTTAGAACTCTTCATCCAGATTGGAGGAGATTGTGAAGAAAGACATTGATCAATATGGGCATTCAAAGTGGTATTTGAAGATGATGAAAAATTTTCACATACAGGGCAAATCTTCGAAGAAATTGTTTCAGGAGGGCCGGTACAAGCAGATGTAATATCTTCAGGTGTATTACGTTTACTGCTAACACGTATCTTCACTGCCACTTTAACCTTCTTGCTAGACAGTTGTGAGGCTGAGCTGTTTGTCTTGTTAGCAGCTGAACCTGCAGCTTCTCGTTCATCGGACACTTCCGACAAGGGGAGATTGCTCGTGGAAACCGACTCCACTTCTGATTGACAATTCGCAGTCGCAATAGTCTTGAATACCAAACCTCCTTCCCCTCCAATTGGAAATGAATCTGAATCCCTGTAGCCTTCAGCAAGATCCTGGTTCCACGAATGATCCAGTTCCAGTATAGTGTCAGATACAATATGATTTTTCAGCATTGGCTGCTTCTCGTCGACATTACTTTCTTCACTGTGCAAGATTTTCTCAGCTGAGCAATTATTCATGGAAGTATCTCTCAATGGATCCGTAGGCTGAAAAGGAGGCAGTACATCCTTTACACCATGCTTTAGACAAAGTTGCAAATTTTTCTGCGAAAAGGGCCAATTCAAGCTGATATCTCTATTCCGAGCAGAAAAGACAAAGTCTCTGTAGACAGAAACCATAACATGCTCCAATTAACCATGGTGAGTACAAGAAAAGGGTTGAACATTGGACTTTAAATGGAAATAATGAAAAAAAATGCAAAGGGTATATGTATAAAAGAGAATCAAAATTGAAGAAGCAGGTGATGTAGATGAAAAAGAAAGGAAGACGAAAATCTGTTTTTTATGTCATATTTTGCTGGTATTATTGTATTGGGTATTTTTTGTTACATTTTATTTTTTTCCTACATAGATTCAAGGGTCAGGAAAGTGTATTTGGAATAATATATATAAGACTAGGAAGTACTAGTGGTTAGGCTATGTATACACCCAAAATGTTTGATATTTTTCAGGAATATGTAATAAATTACAAAGTTGACTGTACACATGTTACTTCATTGGCACTTGGTAGCCCAGCACCCTTCTTCACTTTCCTAGTATCAAGTTTTTTTCTTTTTTTTTTTGTGAACAGTATCAAGTTTTCTTTAAAGGGAGTGTAAGGAGTGGAGGAACAGGGCAAAGCACACTCACTCATGCTTGAAATAAGCAAGAAGACTTAATCAGTTTTCACTACAACCAATAATAGAAGAGTGGAAATTATAATTCAGCATCTGCAGAACATTGAGCAATCATTTAAGTAAATAGAGACATCAACGGGAAATCATATGGTGTAAAAATAGAATAGAAGTTCAGTTTCTTGGTATTACCCAGCCCTTCAGTGAAAGATATATAAAAAAATGTACAAGATACTCACCGGATGGAGAATTCAGAAGCATAGTCACAATTTTCCCCCTCAACTCCTCCCGTTGTTGCAATCAAACTTCCTCTATCTAACTTATCTGACTTCTCCACTTGCTGGCTTGATGACTCAAGCTCATCTTCAGAAATCATGACACGGGCACTAGACTCAGATGTCGACAAGCATGCAGGATGAATTTTCTCGGGAAAGATCTTAGCCAGATCAACCGAGCTCACTATACAATCATTTTCTTTGTCAACATCGTGCGCAATTCTTGGCCTCTTCACCACTTTTTCAGAAAATTTAGCAGCATCTTGTTCCCTTTTCAGACCTCTTGCTTTAATATTCAGATCATATGTATCATCTTTATCCTGAATTACTTCTTCGGAAGTTTCTCTAGCTTTAATTCTATTAGCAAAACAATCTCCTTTCTCAGGTTCACTTCTAAAGAGACTAAAATGCAGATTCCTAGCAGCAGATTCTGCTCCTGCATCAATATCACTTAGTTCTGCATGTTCTTTCTTCAAATTTTCAAGTTTAGTTTTAAGAGACTCTACCATCCTGTGGAGGGAGCTCCTCTCTACCGCTGTCTTTGGCAGTGGCTGCTTAGCATCATCAGACTCTGATGAGACGGTCCTTGTAATATTAAAATTGGCAGCATCATTGATGTCCATTTCATTTCCTAAACTCCCAAGTTTACAGATCATTTCCGTAATTTGGGATTTAGTATTTCTTGCAAGAGTTTTAATAAATTGTAACTTCACAGCCTCCAAATCCCTTTCAGATGCTTTGAGGACTCTGTTAGGCACTTGCATCTGTACATCCATATCAGAAAAGGTCTTTTCCGGCACTTCTTGTTCTGGAGTAGATGCTTGTTCAGCTTCTGCTGCTTGGTTGCAAACATGGTCTTCCAAAAGCAAAGGAGAATCACTATTGGGAGAAATTTTGGTTTGCACTTGCTTTCCACCACTCAGCCCAGCAAGTGCACTCAAGTAGTGTCCCCTAGCAGTGTCTAAGTAGTGCTTCCTAGACCAAATAGCCTCTTCAAATTGTTTGGTGGGAATTTGTGCAGTTTCTGTCACCTTCATTGCCAATTTATAATTTCAAGGCCCTGGCATAGACCAGATCTGATCTAGTGATATCTTCAAGTTTTGGCTCAGGCTTATTTCCATATATACAACATCTTCTAGAATTTCTCAGCTCGGCCAAAGCTCCCTGCAGTGCCACATATAAATCAATGTGGTCAACAGAGAAAATCGATATGCCAATTATGAAGTCACTGGGATCAAAGTAAATTATAAAATCAGCGACCAACTCTATTGTAAGCTAATCCCCCAGCCTAACAATAATGATGATTTATGGAAGAGCAAGATTAGTTAAAAAAGAAAAAAAAAAAAAAAAAAAATTCCCCTGCATACTTTTCACTGTCAAATACTGCTTACAGCGTACCCTTTATGATGCTGATGATGATACTTCAATGAAAATAGGTAAAACAAAAGTAATCAGAAATACTTTTCTAGGCAAACATCTGAAACATATTAATGGCTAAACCAGTTATGTTCTATCACTCGCATTAGCAAACATGGGCATGTCCAAAATGTCAGATTGCTGCAACAAATAGCTTACATTATGACAAGCTTCAACATTAATTATCACTCCCTAAACTATCATCAGACCATCTGAGCTTAAAATTTCTCACAAAAATCCCTCCTACAGACGTCGAAAGCAGCTCAAACGTACACGGAATTTAAAACCTTAGAATCACAATGACAACATTTCATGAAACTCAAAGCATACACTAGCACGCTACATTCAACCAATGAAACTCAAAGCATACACTAGCACGCTACATTCAACCAATGAAGCTCAAAGCATACACTAACACAGTAACACGCTACATTCAACCAATGAAACTGAAAGCGTCGATTCATGAGAAAGTAGATTAGGTTCAATTTGTTTATCAATTCGAAGAAATTAAAAGGCGAAATTCAAAGGCGATTACATTAATCATCAAACCACAAATCTTTTAGAAGAACAAATTCAAAGTAAGGTGAGCAAAATTGCATCATTGGAGTAATAACTAAAAATCTGATACACATATAAATTAAAAATATGCATACAAATACAAGAATAATCAATTGACAAACCTGAATGAACAGTAGCAATAAGATCAATCCACAATAAACCCTAGAATGATCAGAAATAGCGAAATCATCAAACAATCGAAGCAAAGAAGAAGACGATCATATCAAAATCGATGGTACTTGAAAGTGGGGAAAACGATCAAATCCCTAGAAGAAGAAAAGATGGAAACAAACATCGAAAAGAAGAAGATAACCCTAAAATTAGCTGAAACAGTAGGAAAATCGAAAATGATAACAGAAAAAGTTGAGCTGAAATTGAAGATTGAATTGAATTTGGGGGAAATTGAAATTGAAAGAGGGGAAATTTGAAAGAGAAAAGAGGGAAATCGAGGAAGAAGTTAGGGGAAGATTGAGAAGAAGGAAGAGTGTGTCAGTGAAGTAAAAATGGAGGAAAAAATAAAAATAAAAATAAAAAAAGAGGAGAGAGAAGACAGGTCAGCTGAAGAGACACGCACTAGAAATTGAAAAAATTTAAAGTGAATACAAACCGTTCAAATTTCACCATTTTCTTCATTCTTCTTCTCTAGCCCCCTATTCCCTATTCCTACTAGACTATGCCTATATTATTGTATAATTAATTAATTAATTAATTCTATTTTTGTTGTACTACTGTAATAGTTTGTGATTAATTTGATTACTGTATTAAATACAGAGTAGGATTAATAAAAGGCATGTCTCTTTATTTATCATACTAATGTAGTTATTGAATTCATAATAGTAGTCTTTTATATCTATGATTACAGAGTAGTTATCAGCTTTTGGTAAGGAGATGGTGTTAAGTCGAGTGTTAAATATTTATTGTTAGGTGGTTGAGATATTTTTTTTAGGGGAGTTGAGATATCTTATTTTACTTATTGGTTTTTAAGTAAAAATATTCTAAAGGTAACATGAAAAGTAGCTTACTTAACCGGTTAATTATTACAATAAAGACGGTTAGATAGATACTATGTGTATTGTGTAATAATACTATTGAAGTAAATAGTTAAATAGTGACGCTTTCCTAAATTCTATGTTTGGTTAACATTGCAAGTCATTATAGCAAAAGCAAAACCTCAAATTTCCAGTTAAAAATATAAGTTGGTTTTGTCTACTCGATAACTCGTGTAATTTCTCCAAAAGCTAAAGGTTAATACTCATCATAACTTTGTTGAACTCTAATTCTACTCCAATTCTTGAAATGCTACAATACTTAAAAAATATCATTTGATTGTCTCAAATTGGCCACCACCTCTAGATGTGCTAATCGTTACTAAGAGATATAAAAACAAAAATTCATATAGATACTCTCAGATCTCTTACTCTCAGATGTGCTAATCATGCTATATCACTAGGAGCCTAGGACAACCTTTTGTAAATACTATGTGTGTATTATTATTATTATTATTATTATTATTATTATTATTATTATTATTATGGGTAATGCTATACATAACTCTTAGGGCTATATATAAGCATTGAATTTACTCTTGAAAAATGTATAAAGTTAGGAATTCATGACAAAAACACACGCAAATCGATGCAATTAGTGTGTTTTTGTCATGATTTTCTAAATTTAAACAATTTTCAAGAGTAAATTAAATGTTTATATGTAGCCCTTAGGGCTATGTATAGCATTTTCCTATTATTATTATTATTATTTACCAAACAAGTTGATATTAGACTAGATTGGCAAAAATAAGATAAACTAAATAAACCTTTACTTATCCATTTCAACTTAAAGCTACTCCAAAAACATGACATAAGTTGCACTATTTGTTTAACAAATCTATAACTGCCATCTCAATTCATTATTCATAGCCTGCAAAATTTGCAAGCAACGTGCCATTTAATTGGAATCCACACGTTTGTTATATGATGTTGCTACTCATTCGATTGACACCTCCTACCATTTTCTCGTTATAGAAAATGAATAAAAGAACCTTTGAAAATTGAAAAACAAACCATTTTAAAGTGTTACTCTTACTCACAAACTATATATAAAACATGAGTTCACAAGCCAAGATTATAGAAGATCAAGATAGATCAAACCAAAAGCAGGAGAAACAGCGTCAAAGAAGTGGTGATGATGTTGCTAACACTAAGATGGTTCAACCGCAGTCGTGTGACGGTCATGGTTTACGATCAGACAGGGAAAAGCATAGCAATCAAGAATTGGTAGACTGTAATGAATACGAGGATGGTTCAGCGGATGTGACCGGAAAATGTTATGGGATGACCCAGCAAGCTCATCATTTTAGATGTGTAGGTAGCGTTAAGAAGAGTTCTGCATGATAGGCCTACATACTCCCTTTGTCTAGAATTAATAGTCATCTGTTGATGTGGTTATGTAAACAAATCCGGACGGATATTATAGATGAATTTTAATATGGAAAAGGGCAGAGGGTTACGTTTTTTTTTTTTTTTTTTTTTTTTTGTTTTGTTGTTGTAAGCTTTTCTTATGGTATTGTACAACGATTAATAATACAAAGTACTCTGTATAACATAAAAGTTTCTTCAATTTATCCTTGCTAATTGTGGCTATATAGAGAAGAAAGAGTTAGATCAAAGCATGCTGTTAGCAACTTAACACAATCGCTATGAACTTCTCATCACATCATAGTCAAACCTTAGCGAAAGCCAATTGATAAAAGGTTTAACTATGATAAAACAACAATATAGTTCACCGCAATTTGTTATCTTCTCGAATTTCATCAATTTTACAGGCTATAATTCTCTCAGTATACAGAAAGAAAACTCGACGTGCAAGTCTAGTCTACTCACAGAGCCAATCAGACATAGCTCCAACATATCAAAGGATGGTTTTGTTACGAGCTTATTAGAATCTTATTCACCACATCAACTGGTAATGCATAGGCAGGATCTACAGCTTTCACTCCAGGATACTCAAGAAGTGACAGACCTACCAATGCCAACACAAAAAACATGTATCAGCCTGAACACTAAAAAACACTAATGGCAAAAACCTGTTTTGAAGAGAAAAGAATGATGGCTTTAAACTAGCATGTTACCTGCAACTCCGAAGTAAGTGTGGAAAACATCGACAGCGTCATCTGGCCTATCTGAGATACCTCCTTTCTCTAAATCCTGGATGATAATTAGATATGAGAATGGAGGTCATGAGCAAGCAACTGAAAACAAAACTGCAAAAAGCCAAAAACTGGTTCTTTAATAAGTGCAAAATCTAGAAGTGAAATGAATACCTGGCAGTCTAAGATAAATTCAACAAGCTTTTCTTTGTCAATCCAGTGTACTCTGTCGATCATAATCAAACTAGACAGTACCCACCATGAGTAGCAGACCTGAAAGCAGGACAATACCAGAGAGCATTCAGAAGCATTTGTTTGAGGATCTAAGGAGGGCGGGCGAATTTTTAATTTTGTAAAAAAAATTATAAGGAAATCGATATCTCACATCTGGAAGCTTCTCTGGTCGACCATTTAGACCTCCTGACTTCACTTGGCGCTCACACAACCACCAACCAAGAAGGTCCTTGTCAACATGATGCAGAGCGCCCGTTATAGCAAGAGCACCAACACAGCAAAAAACTGCAGTAATAAACCAATAAAATTTGACTCTCACCAAAAGAGTGTAAAAGAGTAGAAAAAAAAAACAAAGAAAGAAACCAAGAGCTTATAAAAAGTAACCAAAATTAGTACAGCTCAAAGGGTATGCATCTGTGAGAATGGTAATACTGCAAAAGTCAATCTATTGAAACTCTCTATAAAGCAAAAGAGGATCATACCATATCAACCATAATATTAGTCCATAGCTTCCTCACATGAGTAACATGACTTACATCATCTTGATTTGTACAGCGAATAAGCAGTATATTGAAAACTAAAACATAAATCTCCCAAGCAGTGTGCTTTCGATTTCCTCCAAAGTCCAAAGCAGTTACAGTTAGTATGATGCTTTACAAGTGGGATTACGTTATATAGTCTTCTGAACACCATAGGATTTATAATATTCCTAGATCATAAGATTTGAGATATTCATAAGCCAACAGTTTTAATTTTAGTTATATCCTATTATCCTGTGTCCTAACCCCAACCTAATAAAGTTATACTGAAACCATCCTAGACAAAATTCTGATAAAGAATATACAAAACCAGACAGCAGCATTATCAGCTATTCAACCACCATCTTATTCCCACTAAGGTAGCATTTGGAAGATCCATGTGTATGCAACCTTACCCTTCCTAGCAAGAGACTATTGAAAAGTTATTCTCAACAAACAAAAAAATAAAAAACCACAGAAAACCTATTGGTATTCATTTTGGGTACAAAATACCTATTTTGTAAAGTAAACTGCAAATTGAAGAGTTCCAAATGTCTCTTGATCTTACAAAATTGGTCACTTGAGACGGAGCCCCTTTACTCTTTGATCGATTCATGGAAGGGGAAGATCGAGGTGAATGGAGAAAAAAAAAAGGACAAAGCTATAGGACTATAGCAATGCATAGATTCCTCAGACCAAAACTCTGACCTAGCACTTTACCAGTGATAGTTTAAAGGACAGCAACTAGTATACTAATGTAGAATCCATGACAATTGTTGAGGGCATGTACATATATACAGTAGAGTGAATAGACATAATGAATGACAGAAGACCAACTTCATCTATATAAACAACATCAAGTCATAAACCCTATAAATCACTATTAAAGTGCACCAACATACTTTGTCCTGCATGTGATTCCCCACCAGGCGTGCATCCAAATCCCCCATCTAGGTTTTTGCACCTTACAATGTAGTTCACAGCCTTCTCCACATCAATTTTGTCCAATTGATGTAGCAATGACAGACAACAAATTGCAATATATGAAAATCTAGAAATATGGATAAACCTGAGTAAGCTTCTCTCTGTTTAAAGAAAAAAGGCATGTAAAAGGACAAGACAGAGAATTGCAAACATACCTGGTATCCACTTCTCCCCAGATGTCTCCTGAAAACGATCCATCCTCATTCTGCAACTGCATGATATCTGAGTTGCAAGGTTAAGGTCCCATGAACAAACCGGAGTGTTCTTGGTGTGTGATTGATTTACTTGACAAAAGAAAATAAGCTGTTTATCCCAATAAAATTATCAAGATCATGGTAAATTAGCAAAACTCGATGAGTGCATACAGTATTTAACTACAGAGCTGGGTAAAGGTCACAACTTACAGCATGCAATTTCTTGTCTCCTCAAGATTCAAACAATAAATTTCAGCAAAATATCATTTTATAGATAGCATGATATCTTAACCATACATAATATAAATGAAAAGAAAAACACACAATCGGAAATAGTTTTAGAATAAATTGAAACTTCACCACGTCATAAAGGATACATTTTGTCACCTTAGCAACGTCAAGAATATGTATCTTATCAAACAGAGCTAGAACTTGAACAGCACTGAGAGTATAAAGAATATGTGGATCATGTCCGATATTACCACCGAATCCACCTGCATAGGCCAGTCATTGTAAGCATATGACATATTACTCAAGTATTTACAGGAACAGGACAAAAATCTAGGAACATGATAGCTACATACAGTGAAGATGTGGTTTTAGTAGATGTAGGAAGCCTTGTGTTTCTTGCTAAGAGGCTGGCATTCCACAATCTTTTTCAAATCAGTTCTAAATTAGGCAGTTTAATCGAAGAATTTCAACCAACAATTTTCCTTAGACAAGAGTAAGAAACTAAGAATGTATTGGAGAATTTCAACCAACATTTTTCCATAGATAAGACTCTAAGAGAAGAATGTATTTCATATAAGAATAAGAAGAAACAAGAAATAACTTCTTCTTGATCCACGACTTGAAGCTTTCCCAAAAGATCCAAGTCGTGGATCAAGAATCTGATTTAATGGAAATTTGAATTACTATCAATAATAAAGACAGACCAGACTCATGTTGACACTGCATCAGCCATGAAATAACTTGTTCTTGATCCACGACTTGAAGCTTTCCCAAAAGATCCAATGTTGTCAGTCCCCAGTAAGCACCATTCATCCTAAGGTGCTCCATGACCACCGATTCAAATCCGTCCTTTTTCTATGGACACAAGTAGCAAAAGATTTACACACCATAAAACTAATCACATACCCAAGACATTAAACAGGAAAAAAATAAAAAAAAGATCAAACCTTCTCGACAGATAAGACATATCGGACATGCTTCTCAGCTGCCAACTCCACCATTATGGCTGTAAACCTACCTGATGTAGGTTAATCAAATTATTGAATAATGAACAACTCTATTTCATAATCTCTCTATTTATTCATCTGCCCAAATTTCACTCTATAGAAAAATTCAAACACTCGTTATATGCATTCTTTCATAAATTGAGTAACTATAACCAATAGTTAAAGAATCCACCTTACAAGAATCCTAGATTGATTATACTTACAATTAACCCTAAATTGTGAAAATGATATTCGATGATTAACAAAAAATAAAGATATATTACCTCAGAGCCGCTTCGAGAAAAAGCTCAGAAGCCGCTTCAATGGAGAACTGAGAAACCGCTTCAATTGGAGGAATACTGTCAATTGTCAACAGTCAAGGATTTTTTTTGTATCTTTATTTTTATTTAGGAGTTCCGAGTTTTCAAGCGATTTCCATAAATAATTAATGCTATAATGTAATTTAATTGTCCACGTTAAAACTATTTCACGTAATACCGTCCACGTCGGCTCGGATTCAATGTTCGGTTTCCTTCCAATATAAACCGCTAATGATGATGGCGGATCTGCTTAATATAGAACCGCTAATACTATTAGCGGTTCTATATATTAAGTAGAACCTCTATTCAAGAGTAAGATTTAAATAAAATCGAAATCAGGCCAAACCTTATAATCAAAAATTCAGAATCGTGAATGAAATTCCCGTACATGAAGGTTATGTCGACGACGGCAACAGTCGAAGGTGATTAATTCGGCGACAATTTGGAGTACCACTGGGGCGATTTCGCTGACTCGGTGAAATAAAATGAGAAATCTTGCTTTAGAAGATGAGAACTTTGAAATATTTCATTAATTTTATTTAATTCAGTTGAGCAATTGGGCTTCCGTACATTTTATTAGCGGTTATTAGCTTCGGATACCCAAACCTTCCACTAATCCTACATAGACGGTGTTGTGTGAAATAGTTTTTTAAAGTGACGCATTTAAGGAAATAATTTATGTTTTAACATTATTCACGGAAATCGCTACGGAGTTTTCTTTTCTGTTTTTTTTTTTCCTCCGTATGTTTTATTACGCCGTATTACTCTAATCATCTACTATTCTAGTGTATATACGGACTCTTAATACTAATGTTAGTATTTGGTGGTACGACTTACGAGTAGTCGTATTTTTCTTCCTTTGTCTATCTATTTGTCACTTTTACCTGCATCTCCCTCTTTCCTCCATTGAAGCGTACTCTGGTTTCTCCATTGAACCGATTTTTAAGCTTTCTCTCATCTATTGAAGCAGCTTTTAGGTAAGATTATTTCTTTTTTTTTTTTATTCAAACCATCGAATTTCAATTTCACAATCTAGGGTTTATTTAAATTATTCTAATTTTCAGTATAGTCAAGTTAGGGTTCTTCGATTGTCGACTATTGAATTATTTGAATTTCTGAAAGATCATATTGAGTGAATTTGTTGCTAGAATTTTGTTGATTTTATCAAGCGAGATGAATTTAATGTATTTTTCGAGCCTAATTTGATAATTGAGTCAGATTTGATTGATAAATGAGTTTGCAGAAAGTTGATTATAGCAATGTTAGGATTGAATCATGAAAATGTACCTATTCTCCCAGGGCGAGGGCGGTCGCGGAGCCGCTTATCTTGCCCTGGCTCAGGATGGTCCTGATTCATCAATCAAAAACTTGTTCTTTAAGTGTGGCATGCAATTGCAAAATCATCCATTTAATCATTAGTTTATTAAAGTAAATGCAAAAGTGTGATTCTGAATTTAGGATTTAATGCGGAAGAGTGTTAACAGTGAATACAGATTGAATTTTAATTTAGAGTTCTATATTGGGTTTGCTGATTTTTTTTGGTGAAATTGGGAGAGGATAAGATGCATACGAAGTATCGGGAAACAATATGAGGGAGTTTCTAATCATCAATCTTTATCTTCAACTTGGTCTCTGTCTCTACGATCTAGCCATTAGAGCTTCACCTTGCTTGTGAATTTTTGGTTTGGGATTCCTTTCTTTTTTCTTCTGTCACAAATTTGGCATTTTTATGCCTGCCTCAAACTATAGAATTCCCCCCTTTTTCTTTCTTTCCATTAAATTTGAGGTCAGTTAGATGCAGTCCTCTTTTTTATATACTGAAAACCCCATCTTTCTTAATTTTAATTTTTGTGAGCTAAAACTCTTTAACTTTTTTTTTTTTTTGATGGCTTGTGTCTCTTGTGTGCAATGATCTCGATTTGATAGGGGTGGATGAGGTTTTTTAGAGTAGATTTTGCTTTATGATTGTCATAGGTTGAAATTGAGGAAATTCTTGCAGAATGATATCTATTAGAAATAACAACATAACACAATTGTTGGCCCAGTGCTGGTAATTTGTGTGAGACAATCTAATTGTTATTCTGTGATCACTAATTGAAATTGGTTAAGTGTTCGTTGGTGGTTTTCATGCTATGCTTATGAATCAAACTGAAACCATGGTGTAAACTGATGTTTACGTTCTTTTTGAGCTTATGTGTATGTGTGTGTCTTAATTACTTGTTGGCTGTATCCTTGTTATGTCACTATCATTAGTAACTACTTTGTCTACTTGCTCTTCTCAACTCATATTGGTGCATCTCATTTGCTATAAAGATTTAGTGGCTGAAATCTTGAATCAATTGGAATATATTCAAATTTAGTTTGTCTATTAGACTTTGATGAAGAGATGTTTTGAGCATTTGGTTTTTCACTTCTTATAACTATTCTTTATCTTATTCAAATACTTGTTATTGTTTATTGTAAGTTTGATCCTTTTCTGTTTTGGCTTACTTTTTTAGTCAATGGCACCAAAAGCCAAGGAGAAACCTAAAGGGTCTTCCTCACAGCCCACCATTGCCATTGAGGATCTCTTTACTTCTCTTAATAAATTCATTGGACGCTCAGAATACGAGCAGGCCACCAAAGTCGCAGAACAAGGTCTCTATTCCTCACTCTGTCTATATCAGAGTTTCAGTTATTCAGATAATTTTCTAACTTTAATTTGTGGAAGCACTCTTTCAGTTCTGTCAAGTGCTCCGGGTGATGAGGACGCTCTTCGGTGCAAGATTGTAGCTCTAATCAAAGCTGATAACATTGATGAAGCTTTTGCGGTTATTCAGTCTTCACAGAGGCTTCCGATTGATCTAAATTTCCTGAAGGTATGAACATGTTGAATTTTGTAACTCATATTTGACGTTGATGTTCTACCTTGGTTTCTGTTTATGTTTGAATTAGATAAACAGCATGTTACAGTATACATTTGGAAGCATACCAATTGCCCAAAAAATGAATGAGCGATTTTAATGGTGGTATATCCGTGTTAAGGGCACATTAGCAATACCTAGCTTGTTGTTGGATCTTGAGGTTTATTTTTTTGGTTGTGCTTACAATCCTCACGTGGTTTAGTTTCTAGTTTTGAGTATATTCACAATTTTATCCTTCTGATAACAAGGGGCTAATTTTGGTCGACCTGTAATCTGATAGGACACGTGTGTACTACCTGTCTACCTTATATAGAAAAGAAACGTGGGCAAATCAATAAGACATTTAAATTTCTTTAGTCCAATATAGTCTGAAAGTTAAACAACATTGAATCTTTTGACTCCATTTGATAAGGTCATCAGTTTTTTACTTACCATAAAATTTTTTAATACAAGGTATTAGTGTATGGTTATTTGAGGTAATACCAATGAAGTTTCCTGATTCTTGGAATTCTTTTTCTGTTGGACCTTGTTCATAGAAGTCCTGGATGCATTATTTTAATTGGAGATGGATTTAAGTCATTTAGGAATGTGATGCGGGGTCCAGTCTATATAGCGAAATCATTGCACCACGTGGTTAAAATGCCACTGACTAGATTGCTTGTATCCTATATTTATGGGTGGGTATGGAAAAGAATTTATAGATATGTTTATTTCTTTCCTTGTCTGTTTCAATGATTTCTCAAGTTTTACTCAACTTTAAGTGTCTTGACTTCTCCATATGCAGTTATCATTTTGCCAATCATATACTTCTCATTTCAATTTTTGTTTGTTGATGGATTAATAAATGCTCTTTTTATGGTCATATGCTCCTTAGGCATATTGTTTGTACAGGCTAAACAAACTAAATGAAGCTTTGGAATCCTTGCAAAGTCAGGAGAGGAGCACTGCAACTATGTTGCTAGAATCCCAGATATTGTATCGTTTGGGAAGGATGGATGCTTGCCTAGACATTTATCAAAAGCTTCAAAACTTAGGTATTGACTCGCTAGAGATCAACTTCGTTGCTGGTCTTGTGGGAGCAGGACGGTCATCCGAGGTGAAAAGAGTTCTGGAATCTCTCAAGGTTAAACCAACAAGCAGCTTTGAACTGGCGTATAACACTGCTTGCTCTTTAATCGAGACAAATAAATTTGTGGATGCAGAACAGCTTTTGCTGTCTGCTAGAAGGTAAGATTCTAATTATTTTCCTTATTTTGTTCTAGAAGGCTAGAAGGCGATTTACATGCTTTTAAGCTGAATGTATGTCATTAGTAACTCCATCTTTATATTCCTATGCCATATGGTTCAGTAGCACTTGCTGATTTTTGCCCCTCTCTACTACTTCTACACCACTTTCAGTCACATGCCAGTTTTTGTTTTGTTCTGGTCAGTTGGTGACTTGAAGTCAAATACTCATATTTATCCAAGATTTTTAGTTCATTACCAAGTATAGAAATTGTTTTGCATAGTTGAGTGTGTTTATCTCTTCTGAGATATGTTAGCATGATCAGTGAGCAATATTTGCTGTGCAACATTTATGCAAAACAGGGAAAAGCCTCCATAGTCGGGTACTTGGGAGATAATTACATTAGACTTAAATTGTTGAAAGGATCTTTTAGTTGATTTTGAAGACTAATGATTTATTTATATGTTTTCAGAGTGGGCCAGGAATCCCTGATGGAAGATAACTGGGCAGATGACGATATAGAAAATGAATTAGCGCCTATAGCTGTTCAACTGGCATATGTTCAGCAGGTATAAATCGTGTGGCATCTGACTTCCTTTACCTTTGAATGTAGATTTGCTGAAAGGCTCAATTTTCCTGTCTTTTCAGCTCCTTGGAAATACACAAGAAGCTGTGCAAGCATACTTAAACATGATAAAACAGAATTTAGCTGATGAATCGTCCCTTGCTATCGCAACAAACAACTTAATTTCCCTTCGAGGTCCAAAAGAAGTTTCTGACAGCCTGAAGAAGCTTGATAGGCTTATAGACAAAGGTGATGGAGGCCAGTTTCGGCTGGCTCGTTCTCTGGAGTCAAAACTCTCAGTCAAGCAGAAGGAAGCAGTCTATGTTAATCGAGCTCTTTTGCTTATTCATGCTAACAAAATTGACCAGGTAACTTCAGTCTTGTCTTTAACAGAGTGTCTGTCACATGTTTACTTGTTTGTTTCTTTATTTTTATTATAATATATCCTTGTGTACCATTTCTGCACCAACTCATACTTAATAGTTCGTATATCAAAGACATGAAGTAGCATTGAATGCACTATCTAATTTTCAGGCTCGGGAACTTGTTACTGCTTTAGTGGGAATGTTTCCAGACAGCGTGACGCCTGTGCTGCTTCAAGCTGCAGTACTGGTCAGGGAGAACAAGGCTGGCAGAGCCGAAGAAGTGCTGGGGCAGTTTGCTGGAAAGTCCCCTGACAAGTCAAAGGTATTTCTCCTTGCCAGAGCCCAGGTTGCTGCTGCTGCTGGTCACTTTCAAGTTGCTGCCGAGTCCCTTTCAAAAATCTCTGATATACAACACATGCCTGCTACCGTGGCCACTATTGTTACCTTGAAAGAACGTTTAGGAGATATTGATGGTGCTGAGGTTGTATTAGACAATGCAATCAAATGGTGGTCCAATGCAATGACTGAAGACAACAAACTTACTGTTATCATGCAAGAGGCTGCTGCTTTTAAGCTAAAGCATGGTAGACAGAAAGAGGCTTTGGAGTTGTTTGAGGAACTTGTTAAGAAGAATAGCAATGTTGATGCTTTGGTGGGATTAGTGACTACTGCTGCTCATGTCAATGTTGAAAAGGCTGAAGCTTACGAAAAGAAGCTCAAGTCACTTCCTGGTTTGAAGGGAATTAATGTAGATGAGCTTGAAACAACCTCTGGGGCAAAGCCCGCTGAAAATGGATCTCGTCTTGTGAATATTGAAGGGCATGATGAGATTAAGAACAAGGATAAAACTAAGAAGAAAAGGAAAAGAAAGCCAAGATATCCAAAGGGATTTGACCCTGCTAATCCCGGCCCCCCACCAGACCCAGAGCGTTGGTTGCCAAAGAGGGAGAGATCTACTTTCAGACCCAGGAGAAAGGATAAGAGGGCAGCTCACGTTAGAGGCTCCCAGGGTGCTGTATCTCGGGATAAACAGGAAGCTGGAACTTCTGATGGTCCTATTCGCAGTTCTGGGGCTGATAATGCTGATACAAAGGCTACAAATTCAAAGCCAAGCCAAGCTAACAACTCGAAAGCAGCCTCTCAGCATACTGGTGGATCTAAATCAAAAAAGAAGTCAAGAAAATAGTCAGTTGTTTAACCTTCATTGCAAATTTTTTTCCTCCTGTCAGTATTTTTTCTTTTGAGATTTTGCTCTCATTTTGGGTTTATGTTGTGTTTGTGACCCTTTTTTAGTCTCACATGACAGTTAAATATTTTTGGTCTCATATTTTTGGACTAATAGTAACACAATTAAATCCACGCATAGAATCTAGAATTATTCTGCATGCTTATTATTCTGCATGCTTTTGCCTGTGTTTAACAAAGAATAACGTAAATCTATGTTCTCGTCGACTTATGTTAAAAGAACTGTACTTATTTATGCTAAAATGAAATTATCTTGCTGAAATAAAATTATTTTTGCTGAATCCTACTAGTTGACATACCCTTTTATAGTTTTTGACTTTTTTTTTTTTATGAAAATTGGCCCCAGGTAGTTTATTAACCCCAAATTGCTACTCTTTACTGCTATAAATCCACCCAATTTTCATAGCCAATGCGCCTGCACATGGTAATATGTTTACATTTATACTTCTCAAGGGACCAAGTTTAGGGCTAAGTAAGACTACAAGCTTGTCTTGAATGTACGTCAATATTCGATCCGTTCCAAATTGGTTTCAGTCCTCTCAAATAAATTTCTTGGTTTCACCAATGATGTAGGTTGATGTTGCTTGGTATGGCATCAAACTCCAACTTTTAGAATCATAACAATATTAAGGTTGGATAGGAGTAGTCATAGGACTCTTATTATACCAAGTTATTAACTTATTAGTGCAAATTTTGTTGTCTGTTGAGGTTAGGTTCAAATGTGAACAGCCAACAATATTTGATATCAATCAACATAGGGCGAGATTATTGATGGATGGTGGCTCACTGTTGCTATCTTTAATCTTCAAGTGTTGAGAGGGAACTAGATTCCAATATTAGCAATTAATTCTTTGGTACTCAGACTTATAACAGAGACTTAACTACATAAGAACAGTTGTATAGAAGTTCATGGAAGTTGTTAAAATTACTCTCAATATGAATTTGCTTATATTGTGTATTATTCTGCTTTTGCATGTTTTCATGTTTGCTAGAACCTTTGGCCACTCTTTAGAAATCTAACATTAGGTACATGTTTGACAACGGAATGATATTGCCCATCTTGTAGAAGACTAAGATCAAATTCCCATGGTGTATCAAAGAAAGTGAGTGTTTCTAGCCTCGGGAGGTACTTGATTACCGGTGGCACCTGCAGTCTTGGACTTACGCCGATTGCCATATGCTGAAGTAGAGGCAAAGCACCTTTGTATATAGTCAAAGTCTCCAGAGCTTGCAAATCAAGGAGATGGAGAATCTTAAGCTTCTTGAACCCTGCGGCGCTAATTTTTAAAGTGTCACCACAATATGCATCCAACAACTGAAGTTCCACTAAACTAGGCAATGTTTCCAGGCATTCAAGAGGATCAACATCGTCTAAGCATGACCACCTTAGACGAATTTTCACTAGGCAGTGGAGCTCGAGGATCCAGCTAGGGAATGGTGGTATCAACGGTCCATTCAGATAGAGGTGTTTAAGTGTTGAAGGAGGCAACTGGAAATGCTCTAAATCCATCCATTCAGTTTTATTTTTTGAATATACACTGAATGACTGAAGGCATTCCATCTTTTCAATTGCAACACAGAGATCTTTCCCATCTTCTAACTTGAGCCCAACAATTCCTAGCTTTCTCAACTGCCTCAAATTTCTTAGCTCCTTGATCACAGTACTATTATGCTCCACATCAACAAATGCCAGCTTCTGTAGCTCCCCAAAATTCTCCAATACCCTCTTTGGTAACTTCACTCCTATCGTCTTCATGGTGTGGAGACTAAAAGCAGGATCATGCTCGTAGCAATATGCAAGAAGATGACGTAGTTTGTGGAGCTCGTAGATTTCAGCGGGAAGCTCATGAATGGGAGTTTGTTTCAAATCCAATGTTTGGAGATCTTGAAGCTTACCAATAGAGCTTGGAATCCTTTTAACTCGTGTATTTCTTAGGCTTAAATACTGCAAGTTAAGTAACTTTCCCACTTCCTTTGGAAGTTCATCTATGGGAGCATTACATAGATCAAGAACTTTCAGCTGGCGATTGTTATTCAATGCTTTAGTTAACACCTTGGGCCGTAGCTTTACTGGTGCTGTTGAATCTGTTATCAGCAGGATGGACCGGGTGTTCGACTTGCTTCCGATAACAATCTCCTTTGCTGGATTCGCTACTGCATTATTGGAGCTATGGTCTATGTTGATGGACAATCGTCGAGGCTCCACACTTGAATCAGCAATGTTGGAGTTCTTTTCTGGAAGAGCGTGACAAAAATTCAACTCCTTAACCTTAGAAAGGATTATTTCATGCAGGAATTCATAGACTCGTAATGTCTTAGGTTTGCCAGTAGCATCAGTGCGCTCAACTTCAACTATGTTCATACCAATAAGTCGATTGATGTATTCTTCAGCGACTTCTTCGAGTGTCAAGTTACTGCTAGGTTCTCTTACAATAAAACCTTCAGCTATCCATAATCTAATGAGCTGCATTCGATCAACAGGACAACCTTTCGGAAACAAACCAAAGTACAGGAAACAACTTCAGCTATCCATAATGTCTTTTCTCCTACCGAGTTCTTTAGCCCTTTCGCGCAAAGACTCAATGGTGGAGGCAATGCTTCGTACGTTCAGTGACATATACTGCATCACCTTACCAAATGCATTTTCTTTTTGGAAATACTTATATTCTTCAATGACATCTTCTATCTCATCAGCCAATGCTCTTACTTGTTTTATCCATTCTTTTACAGACTCATCCCCTTGTTCGGCCCTCTTATCTGCATCCTTTAGCAATGCTAACATGCTATTCAGCTCATTGCAGATATCTTTAACTTGGTCTCGCAAACCATTTATTAAAGAGACTTCATCTTTGATTATAGGATACAATAATTGGATAGTGAATTGAACTGTACTGTATATATCTGCCATTCTTGTTCGGTTCCTTCAGCTACCGAGTGAGCTTTCTGGATGCATTTGTAGTTAATGAATTCACCTGCTGGATGCACATCAGATCAATCAGTATATATGGATGCTTCTTCCGTTCTAGTTAAGTTGACACGTTTAATAATCTACTTTAATTTGACTATCTTTTGTGGATTATACTTCAAATATCAGCTTTTTAAATTTTCATGTATTATTAATTAAAGATACAACGAATTTGATAAATGCATTGGCAAACATGTAAAACAAAATTGACAGAGAGGACGTACTAAGGAGTAAGGACTATTAACTAGGCAGCTAGGGTGCTTCTGTCGTCCTAACAAGATATCAATGTACCAATCCAGCCTGGTGGATTGATTTTTAGTCCATAATTATTCGTAGAATCTGAAAATTAATTAAGCTCATATGTTACTCATGAATTAAGCTCATCAATTACTCATGGAAGCATATAAGAAATGTACATAAGAAATGCTCATCTTTGTCAAAAAAAAAAAAAAAAAAAAAAAGCACATAGCAACTTACCGAGTATTAAATTAGATTTGTTTCAATATGTGTTTTCAAAATAAAACTACTAATACATAATTAAAGAGAACAAGGCAGGAGTGCTATGCGACTTGTACAACTATATACAAGACAGATGAGTAATCATAACAAATTTAACAATAATATGTTGATTTATGAGCTATGTACCAAGGTAGCTTAACTGGAGGAATGCCGGAATAATAGTGGATATGGTAGATAACTCACCTCGTGACTTTGAGATCACATCATTTATATAAACTTTGGAGTAGGGGATTAATCTACCTGTTGAGCTCTGTGGATACCATTTAGATTGTATTAGATGGATTGATTCTAAAAGAAAAGAAAACAGCAAACATACATTTGAAACTTAATTGATCATGATAAATACCACAATAAATTTACCTCTGAAATACATATGGTAGGTTAGTTTGGGATGTTGGATCAACCCTCAGCTCATCAACATAACGAAAGCCACAACCACAACCGAAGAGATTGATCGGCGGTCCGAGTTGATTGTAAATTGTATCAGATGACTTAAAAAAAAGAATAGGACGGATTGTATATATGAAGTATAGTTTATAATAGTTGAAGAATATGATTAGGAAGATGTTGAGAACGAAGTTTGTGAGCAAGTTCCCGGCCACTGACTAGTCAAGTAAACTGTCGTGTAATACTTCTTAATCTGTAACGTATGTAGAATCTAGAAGACATAGATAAATGATGGAAGACCTTACTTATGATCGAGTCAATGGCGCGTCTCATTCGTATATACTCAGGGCCGTCTATTAGGGGGAGCACCTTGAGCACGGCTCAGGCCCCCTTATTTGTGGGCCCCGTCATTGTATTTTTATTTTTTTTATAAAATAAAATGAATTTTTAAATACTATATATTGTATATATGAGAAACATTTGGTTTATGTTATTATTACTAAGGAATTTTTATATATACTGAATTTTTAAATTCCTAATTTTATACAATTTCCAAAAATATATTTAATGCTTATATATAGCCCTTAGGGCTACATTTACCCTATTACTAATTATAACCATAACCATGCTAATACTTTTTTTTGGATTAACTTTTTATTTAGGAAAATATATTTGGGTTAACTTTTATATATATATATATATATATATATATATATATATATATATATATATGTTTTCATATATTAACCATTTATACTTCTTAATAATATTAATAGCCAAATTTGTGCATTGACATATGTGTTAGCTAGTGTTGCGATTATTATGAAATAGAAGGAGTATATTATTGCCTTCTTTTGTCTCTCATTTCAAATTTTGTAATGCCCCGTCAAAATTTTAATTAATACGCGGTGGTAAAAAAATATTAATTAAATTATTGAAATTATTAATCCAATAGTAAGGGGTAAAATATTTTGTTGTTGAATTACGTATAAATTATACTTTGTAATTTAGGATCGAGGCCCTATTTAAATTTTTGCTCCGAGCCCCAAAAATGTCTGAGACGGCACTATATATACTCCATTGGTCCCATTATTCCATATACTGAGTCTTAGTCCATTAATTGCTCGGGTAGACCTTACTTGGGTTTCATGAGAGAATGCATATGCTAGCTTGCCAGTATTATCTCGAATTAAGCCACCACCACCAGCAGGACCAGGAGATCCTTTGGCTGCTACATCGGTATTGAGGACCAACCAATATAAGCTAGCCAACGAATATAAGCTTCATGCCTTGTAGAGGTGTTCTGTCCTGTTCCCGTGCTGATCATATCATATCATATAACTAATATATAAATCTTACAGGTCAGAATTTATTTTAATATATTTTTGTAAAATAGGATAAAAAAACTTGGATAAATTTGGTAGGACAAAAAAAGTTGAATAGATTTGGTAGGATAAAAAAGTTATTTTAGAGTTTTATTTTCAATAATATTTTAATTTGGTTTAGAATTTTATTTTCAATAGAATACCAATATTTCTATACAAATGACGGGGCTAGCAACGTACAAAAGGAATGTAATTATATATAACCGTTCTCGACGACCGTTCGCATTGTTAATATTTTAGATAAAAAGTTTTATTTTAAATATTGATGAACAATCCGGACATTGCACATGCACAAAACTAGTGGATTATATGCACACCCCAATAAGGCTAAGTCTAAATCGGACAATATCATACAATCATACCAATGTGGAGTGCGTGCGCAACAACCATCTTTTTTTCACAACCCTAGCCTCTGATTTTTATTTATTTTTTTAAATACCCCTAGCCTCAGTAATTAAATATAAATAAATAACTTAAATTAGTACTTGTATATGGTTGCCCTAGCTAGGGAAAACTAGGTTTGACAAAGAGAGGCACGAAATCATTATACATCAATGAGTGATAATCGAAGGTCCTTACCCAATGATCTGATCATTGAGATCCTCCTAAAATTACCAGCAAAATCTCTTGTTCGTTTAAGAAGAACATGCAAAACTTGGATTTCTCTAATAAAAAAATGAGCCAACTGTTTTGTTTCAAAAGAATGAATTGCCCGAGGTTCCATCTATAAGCCATAGAAGCTGAAACTTTTGAGCTCTGCTATTGAGTTTTTTCTTATAATACAAGTATCATATTTGGTGACAATGTGACTTGTTGTTATGCGGAGGTGTCCTTGATGTCAGGTCTGCGAAATGAAGTGGCTGCTATACATGATGAGCTGAGCAGCATCAAAACCTGTACTTAAGATCGCGGAAGAGAGAGCAGATGAAGATGAATCGGTGAGAGAGTGGGTGAGACAGGTAAGAATGTTGGCTCATGATATAGAAGATGTGATTGAGGAATATAATCTTTTGTCAAAAGGAAATGAATTTGTTAAGAAGATAGTGCCACTGCCAAAAGCATTGAGTCCTTGTCATATGCAGGCAGTCAACGCTGATAAAGGATGCTTTCCCTTGGCATGAGAGCATCAACGAGCAAAACCAAGTGGCATATCAAATAGATTGAGTGTTTCGAGCTTCAAGAGATACTTTATTCCCAATGGCACCTCCAGTTTCGGGCTTTCACCGATAGCCATTAGCTGAAGCAGAGGCAGAGCACCTTTGCATATAGACAGGGACTTGAGGTTACGCAGATCAAGAAGATTCAGTGTTTTAAGCTTCTTGAACCCTCCATCTTTAAATTCCAACATTTCACCGTTATATGCTTCTAACATTTGAAGTTCCACTAGATTTGGCAATTTTCCAAGGATATCAAGAGGGTCATCTTCCAAAGATGACCACCTCAGGCGGAGCTTCACTAGACTATGGAGCTTTAAGATCCAGCCATTGAAACACGACTGCAGCGGTCCATTCAGATAGAGGCGTTTGAGTGTTGAGGGTGGAGACTGCAAATGCTTTAAATCCATCCATTCAGTATTATTTTTTGAATACACAATGAATGACTCAAGGCATTTCATCTCTTCGATGGCAGCACAAACATCTTTCCCATGTTCCAATTTAAGCCCCACGATTCCCAACTTTCTCAACTGCCTCAAATTTCTTAGCTCCTTGATCACGGTACTTGTATGTTCCACATCAACAAATGCCAGCTTCTGTAGCTCCTCAAATTTCTCCAATGCCCCATTTGGTATCTTCACTCCTGTTATTTTCCTCGCATGACGACTAAAAACAAGATCATACTCGTAGCAATATGTAAGAAGATGACGTAGCTTGTGGAGCTCATTGATTTCAGCAGGAAGCTCATGAATAGGAGTTTGCTTCAAATCCAATGTTTGGAGATCTTGAAGCTTACCAATAGAGCTTGGAATCTTCTTAACTTGTGTATTTCTTAGGCTTAAATACTGCAAGTTAAGTAACTTTCCCACTTCCTTTGGAAGTTCATCTATTGGAGCATTACATAAATCAACAACTTTGAGCAGGCGATTCTTGTTCAATGCTTTAGGTAACCCCTTGGGCCATATCTTCACCGGTGCACTTGAATTATCTGTAACTAGCAGGATGGACCGGGTGTTCGACTTGCTTCCAACAATAATCTCCTTTGCTGGATTTATGTTGATGGACAAGCGTCGAGGCACTACACATAAATCAATAGTGTTGGAATTATTTTCTGGAAGAGTATGACAAAAATCCAGTTCCTTCACCTTAGAAAGGATTATCTCATGCAGAAAATCATGGACTCGTAGTGTCTGAGGTTTGTCTGTACCATCTGCATACTCGACTTCAACTAAGCTCATACAAATAAGATGATCAATGTATTCTTCAGCGACTTCTTCAAGTGTCAAGTTTCTGCTAGAGTCTTTAACAATAAACCCTTCAGCTATCCATAATCTAATAAGTCGCATTCGATCAACAGTATAGCCTTTAGGAAACAAACCAAAGTATAGGAAACAAGGCTTCATCAGCTGCCTTATAGAATTGCTTGATTACGCATTTTAGTACATCAACATGGTTGTATCGTTGGACTACATTAACCCATGCACGGATAGGGAAGTGTTCTTTCACAGTTCCATCATTATAAACACTCCAAACAGCTGTTGTCTTTCCGAGCCCTCTACTACCAGTAACAGCTATCATTCTAGATAGCTTCGAATCCTCATCAAGCTCCAGTAAGCCTAGCTTTTCGATTAAATCTTGTTTGGCGGTTTCAGCACCCACCAATTCAGATTCCTGGGCTATGCCGCATACAGAAAATGTTCCTTGGATTTGGATGTAGTCATGCTCCTGCTGAACAGCACCACCACCATTATTCCTGATGGAGTATAAGTCTTTTCTCCTACCGAGTTGTTTTGCCCTTTCGCACAATGACTCCATGGTAGAGGCAATGTTTCGTACTTTCAATAACATAAATTGCTTCACCTTACCAAATGCATTTTCTTTTTGATAAAGCTTATATGCTTCAGTGACATCTTCTATGTCAAGAGCCAATGTTCTTACTTGTTACACCCATTCTTTTACAGTCTCATTTTCCTCGGCTCTCTTATCCGCGTCACTCAGAAATGCTAGCATACTATTAAGCTCATTGCGGATATCTTTTACTTGGTCTTGCAAACCATATATTAAGGACACTTCTTCTTTTATAAAAGGTAACAATATTTGGATAGTGAATTCAACTGTACTGTATATATCCGCCATTCTTGTTCGGTTTTATTTGTAGTTAATGAATTCACCTGAATGCACATGAATCAGTATATTAGTAAACAATGCATTTCCTCCCTTCCTTTTTAGTTAATACATATCGAACTATTGAGTATTGACCATATTCACAAATTCTATTTTTGATTACTGTTTGCGTTTATACCATGCACGAATATTTTTTTTTAAAAAAAACTGTCACGATAGAAATTATTAGATTTATCTCATCATATATTTTCAAAGGTATAAGATTCATCTCATCATATATATTCAAAAGTATAATGTATATAGTGTTGTCACATTAAAAAAAAAAAGGAAAAGTACTAACTAGGTTGCTTTTGTGGAATACAATTATTATGCTAATGAGTTATGCCTATCATCTTTTAAAACTTGACCATTGATTTTAAGTTGCCCTATTTTTTTTGGTTTAACTTGATGTTGTAATTGTAGAATCGTATCCAAGTTTTACCACCATTTTAAGGCACTTACAATGATAAATATATAGTAGTATATACTAATGTACTTTGTATATGTTGAAGAAAAAACCTCCAAAAGTATCACCTTATGTAAGTGTCCCACATTGGTTCAGAAGA